AAAAAAAAATCTGTCCCTCCTTAATTTTTTTGCAGTCAATGGAGTTTCACCAGCTGTGGTGGAAGGAATGGTTCGGCGAGGTCCACGTTGTCCATTCTGGTGGTTGATTTGTAGAGATCACCGACATGTGTGCATTTCTACCACTTTGTGGCACTGTTTACATTTGACAAAGCAGCACCAATGGAACTTACAGCTGCATCTTTCTACTATTTCGACTTCTTCTGTGTGAAAGCCCCGACCGCAGCACATAAGCTCACAGCCATCGATGGCCTTGGAAGTCTTGTTGCACTGCCGGCCCGTAGTTCCCAAAACGCCGTTCTTTAAGTCGTGGTCGCAGAAGTCTGGGCTGGAGTCTAGATATACCAGGTCTTCATCCGTGTGTGGCTTGAACTGAGAATTTTTAGGCACTAAGACTTTGGTCGTGCCAATTTTTTTCTGCTCCACTTCAGTAGCTCCATCAAATTTTTCCTTCAAGACATTGCCGACTTTACGAAACGGAGGCATTGCTTTCCAGCAGGTCTTTACTTCGCAGGATCCGGAGACCCCATGGCACTTACATTCCACTCGCATGTTGTTGAGGATGGCCTAATGGAAAAGAAATAGCATATTAGAGGATATCCTTGACTTTATCACTTATTTCATATATATTTGGTGTTTCTTCTTAAAGTGGACCTAAGCTGTGAAGTTAAGTGTGATGCAAGCATAACTCTAGTTTTATTTTTTTCTTTGTTTTGGTCACTTCTGCTCCTTTGTGTTCTCTAAAAACTAAAAGGTTAGTATAGCACAATTCACCATCTACACACTCCAGCATTGCCCTCCAGGTTCAATGACGACCTCAAAACACCTGCAGCATGTTTCTCCACGACGATTAACTTCTGTGGCATGTGTGGAGACAAGCTCTGCTTCTGTCATATCATAAACCCAGGGGATACTTAGATTTTTGGGATATTAGCCACAGTTCTCAGTAGACTGGTGTGGAAAACCTTAAAATATGGGGTGATTGCTCAGCTTACAGAGAAATTTCACTGCTCAAAAATAAGCAAGCAGTCAATGAAGTCTGTATAAAGTCTTCCTTCCCATCATACCCCGCCTTTCTGTCTGATAAACCCTATGCCCCTTTAACTGAGCTCTGGAAAGCACTAAAAACGTGACTGATTCTAATCCTTCCCCGCTTTTGACAAAACTAGAAAAAAATGTTTTGAGTGGACACACACTTTACTTTTTATGATAGCAAAGCCGATAACTAAAAGAGAGCTGCTTACCTTTCGTCCTGCCTCGTTGTTGTGGAGATTCATGAGAGCTCGACTTGATGAAGCCCCTTTACCCCGCTCTCTTACATCAACGAAAGACTGTGAGAAAGCTACTCCATATGCAATGTTATCTGAACAGCCAGACCACTGGAACCCTAAAGGATTATTGGGGAAAATGTCAGAGCTCTTGCTGGTGTGACAAATACATACAACATTCATACGCTATTAGAATGGAACATCTAAATGGTGGCTACAGTCCATACCCTTGTTTTGTTTTACTCCAGTTTTTAAACCAGAGATCTAAATCCAAAAAAATCTCCATTTCATGTTTAACAGTTGTAATTGTTTAAGTTGAAGTTCGTTTAGCCACAAAAAAACCCATACAAACATATAAATACGCCATACAGGAAGTGCCCTTGGTGGGAAATAAACCAAGAAAATCGCCAAGAAACCCAACCAAGCTTTCTCATAAGATTGTGCCTGCTTACATTCAGAGGGAAAGGCAATGGCCAGATAAAGCAGAACCCCAGTCAAACCCTTTTGTCTGAAGTGAGGTGGAGTTAGAACCCCTTTTTTGTTTTTTGCTGCTGTGAACCTGCTGGGGAGATTGTCTCTTACTTCCTGTTCAGAAAGTGAACGAAAGTAATTCCTATCAAGAAAATGAATTTACTGCCTATGTTGTAAGCTACACAAGTAGCCTGTAAAAGCAATTCATAGCTCATGATCATGCAGTGCATTATTAATCACTACTACATGTTACTTGTGCAGCTTACACCATAGGTGTGTTGCGGTAGTGTGCGCTTAAAAAAAGGACGGCATGCAGCACTTTATTTTTAGAGCATCGCAGTGAGAACCGGTAAATTTAATTCTGAGCTACTGAGCTCTGTACATTTGTTTTTCAGTTAAGGATAATGTGGATATGTGAAAGAAGTCTAGAGGTCCACTTGTTGGCTGGAAGCTTAAATAAAAAATGCTGATAACCAATAACGAGAAAGTTGGAAAAAGGAGACTGATAGGTATGTGTCTAACAAACACAAAGAGCTGCATCATGGCAGGGAGGGAAGGAGCGCAAGTGACTGGCGCAGACTTTGTGGAGGTGGATAACCAATAACACTGACTAAAAAAAAAGAAACATAATTTTAGGGATTGTATATACTATACATTCCCTTCAAGTAAGGGTCTGGGCTAGGCTCATCAAGTGCCACATGCCCTGCAGCAGTTGCTACTCTCCTGGATCCTTCTTCCTGTACATATTTTATAGATTAAAACTCAAGTTGAGGATTTCTATAAACAATTCCCTTGAACTGACACCCCACATACCCCCCACACTACAAGCGAGAGAAGTGGCTTCAGGGGACCCTGGTGGTAGCCTGCCAGAGCATGTAATATGCTATTGCAGTTTATTCCTCTACTCCTAGAGCCACCTCCTGCTACATTCTGTGGGTCCCTCCGCTGACACCTACCTCACTTCACTACAGCAGGAGAAATCACACTGTACAAGGGTGTGCAGACGACCCATACACATACAAGTGCGCCAGACGTTGAAGATCATTCAACAAGCTTTCTTCTTTACCACAGAGGAGATTGGTGGAACAAGTAAGTATTGATCACTTGATTTACAGGGAGCTCTTTTAATCAAGTTTTCAACTCCACAGAGGGTCAGTAAGGAATGGCAGTAGGAGTACATTTCCTGGAGTCCATGTTTCCCTCTTTCTGCATCACCAACCACGTTCACGCTTTCAAGGTTGACTTAAGTGGTAAATGTGAGAAACATTTTAGTGCAATTACTTTACATTATGCTTTCTGTGAGTGAGAGATAATAAGGAGGGTGTTCCATCATCATCACCAGCAAATGTTATCCAGGATCACCAGATTAAAGAGAAAAGGAAGAGAGGGGACTGATGCAACAATGCAATGTCTAAACGAAAAAAAAAACTGATGTTCTCCGTATGCATCGCAAGGCTTGAATTTTGGATGAAGTAAACCTTTAAAAATACTGTCTTCCAGCTTCGGATGTGAGGAGTGCCAACTTCAAAATCAAATAATAGCAGGATGATTGCTCAGATCCTTACAGTACTACTACCGTACATTATACTTGACTCACATCGATGTCTGTCACAGACTGCTGGCTCCGGCCTCCACCTGGCTGCTTCTCTAAAAGCTATTATGCAACTTCCTGACCGTAATTACCTCGGGGTCTTTTGGTTAATATATTGTAGAGTAATGAATGAGTTAGATAATTATTAGCCCTGCCCACTGTGGATCGTCTAGTAAACCAAAAACAAAGCAGGGTTTTCCAAGCCGATGCCAATAATAGCTTATTCAAGGAAAATGAAAAATGAAATTTAAATGCCAAACCAGCTGAGGGAATGCAGAATCTGCTTATAAAGCCGAACTCAATAAAAAAATGATGAACTAGACTAGGGCAACAGACAACGAACTAAATCTCCCAAAAGGTACCTGCTCTGTTGAAGTATTCAAGGCATTTAAGAAGCCAGGGGCTGACACATGCCACCACTGTCCACCTATATCTAAAATATTACTTCCAGGTGGACTGGTCCTTTAATTTTTCTAAGAAGCACAGATAGGAATAGCTGGAAGAGAGGGCAATGTAGCAACATTAGCGATAAACTGTTTAAAATTAACTCCATTACAAAAACTAGAGGCCACCACCTAAAATTGGTGGAAAAAAAATTCCAGCACAAGGGGCGAAGGGGGTTCTTCACAGTAAGATCAGTTAGGGTCTGGAACTCACTGCCACAGACAGTGATTTCAGCAAAGAATGTGGAATTGTTCAAGAAACTTTTGGACGATTTCTTAAGGGACCGTAATATACAGGGGTACAGGTACTCCTAGAATGAGATCCTAATAGGTTGGACTTGATGGACTAATGTCTTTATTCAACCTCAAATACTATGTAACTATGTAAGCAAAAATGCATGTACAGTTCATGTTAAAGGCTTTTCATGTAATAAACCAAAAATATATATTTGTGATAAAAAAATCTAAATTGGTTCTACTGACCTTGAGGACTCACACCGTGTACCGTCCGATCGCAGCCACATTTTTCTAGATCTCCACTGCTACACGCCCTGGTGACTGCGAAGGCGACCCCCGCTGATGATATTGCGTACACGAACGCTGCTTCCCTGGTGCCTGCAACACAAAGAGAAGGGCATGTTGAGAGGACTTCCATTTCATCACCCTAATTTTCTAAGGAGATATAGAAATGTATGTACTGAACTTAGCCAGAGTAACACCAGCTGGTGAAATCTGGTATGACAGCACAACCATAAGGGTACAAGGGTTCTCTATGAGGGTCAATGCATATGAATAAACATTGCAAAATATTGGCACAGGGTGTGGTAATTGTTACCTTAGTATTACCATGCAAAAGCTTTCCTAAACCTGGGGGAACCCTTGAAAATAATTTTCAGGTCTCAGGAGACCCCTTATAATGGTACATTAGCTGCAGCGATATGTTGTTGATATAATATTGCATAAAATAATAGAGAATGTGGCTTACCCAATGCTTATGACATTCAAGACAGGTAATATTTTTTATCACTCCCAGTTAAAAACTCAGACTTTAAAGCAGGACTCCAAGCAAGCAAAAAACGTACCCTTGCAACAGGGCCTCCCCCGCACATGGGAGAGACACATGGGAGCTATACGTTGCCTTTATTAAACGTAGCAAAGCTTGGGTGCCTGTTGGTTTATAGGCATCTAGTGCCGGTGTTTGTGACTACGTTGGAATGTGTGACCGGTGACATGGTCACACATTTTAACATAATCCCGCCAAGTTTTACAGTGGTGGAATGTGTGACCGCCCATTGGGTCAAGCATTCCAACACTTTGTCAGCGGTTCCAGGGCAGCTTGGCTCACTGTGCATGTGCAGGAGAATCAAACTGCATTACCTCGTTTGCCTGGAACATTTGGTCAGTCCTCAAATGTCACTTATATCCGACTGTGTGTGTATGGTGGAATGTGAGATCGCACTCACAGAGTCGGATAGAAGTGACATTTGAGGACCGACCAGATGTTCCAGGCAGATGGGGTAATGCAGATTGATTCTCCTGCACATGCACAGTGAGCCGATCTGCCCTGGAACAGCTGACAAAAGTTGGAATGCTTGACCTAATGGGCGGTCACACATTTCACTGCTGTAAAACTGGGCAGGATTACGTTAAAATGTGTGACCACGTCACCGGTCACACATTCCAACGTAATCACAAACTTTGATAGTAGAAAAATGTCACCAGCACACCATAAGTTGAAAAAGCAAAATATTTTATTGCCAATAGCTGTATCTCATTGGCAAGCGCTTTCGGGGCCTCGCAGGGTCCCCTTCATCAGACTTAGATAGAACTTTGATAGAACATCAGGAAACACAACCCAGGTGCGGGCATTTGCAACAGTTCTTGCGATTTGTCTTTTGTTACTGGTAACGAGGTTCTGTAAGGAAGGCCGGTATTGGGACTTTAGATGAGACCGAGGCTCCCTTAATGGATGCTCACTGCCTTCTTTCACAAACAACCAGCAGAGGGCGCACCCATGAAAGAAATATGATCATAAAAATATGGCATGTAAATATCACATGAAATGATTGCCAGGTATTCTCTACTTTAAATGTGTGATCATTTCCCTTTAAACCAGAGCATATTCCTGTCCGATAGTGAGCTTCTTGCGTTAGAAAAATCTTAACAGCTGTCCTAGTTTACCCTTGTGGCATCCTTCTCCAAATATTTATTATGTCTACTCCACAGAAAAGCTTTCCTTATAATTTAGATGTTTGCTCTTTTCATCTATCATTGTCGGCTGCAGTTGTAAATAGCACTCCAAAGATTTTACTATTTGTGTATTATAAAAGTCAAACAAGGCATGCAAGCGACTGGGTCGCACTCAATTTTCGTTTTTGTTCTTGTACTCCCAGGTGACACAGCGAGTCTTGGCACGCATTACATCATGATCATCTAGGAAATGAGCAGGTAACCTAAAGGCATGTGTGCATTGTTGGGTGCATGATAGGCGTGCTGTTGAGTTCTACTGAGGCAAAAGGTGACCTCATTCCATGACATCTACTCAGAACTTTCCATTTTACAACCATGGGAGCTTCCTTGATGCCTTGATATTGAAATGGAAAGCACTGGGCCCTGGAAGATGCAACACCAAAAAACAGCAGTGGCAGTTCCATCACAGTGGCTTCTATCCTTACCTATTTATTTTAATGTTAAACTCCAGTGAGATATCATATAAGACTCCATTGAATGCAGTTCCCTATTCTTTTACACATAATGACTGGAGTCACCACCAACTGAACAGATACGTTTTCTTCTTTCACAGGCAGGCTCTAGTTAATTTTATCATTTGGCAACAGAGTCGCTTTAAAGTGTACTTAAAGGCAAAATTTTGGATAGAGCGGGGGAAGTGTTGAAACCCCTGTCAGGTTTTTGGATGTTGTCTGCGTTCCCCCACTGGGAACATTTGCCCTCCCTGTTTGTCACTAGAACAAAACATAGCGGAAGGCCCAAAACTTTACAGCTGTTACCAGAATGGGAGGTGAGGGGGAAATCCTCCAATAAAGACACCTGTTCCAATTACAGTTTTCTGAGGTTCCCCCTGTTTTCTAAAGGTTTGCAGAGATTTCCCCTTACTTCCTGTTGTGTCTTCAAGACAGGAGCTGAAAAAACCAGGGATGCTAAACATTCTATATTCTATCCAAAAGAAAAAATAACTAGATATATACGTAAAGCATATGTCAAGGCAAAATAAACACCATATTGAGTACATTCCTGAAATAAATGCTACACTGCAAGAACAGAAAAATAACTGTTGATGTGCCAGAAACATAGCGTGCTCCTAAGTTCCTCTTCAACATGATAACAGAACTTTAAAAATGTAAGCACGTGGTGTCAGCCCTGCCTATGTTATTTCTGATGGATTACAATGTACATCCCCTCCCCTCCCTCCTTATCTCCTCCTCCTCTCCTCTCCATAACGCCTCCAACTCTGCATAATCCCTCCTTATATCCTCCACCTCCTCATCTCCATAACCCCTCTTTATCTCCCCCTCATTTCCATAACCCCTCCTCATCCCCTTCACCCTCCTCCTCTCAATAACCCACCTCATCCCCTCCACCTCTCAATAACCCCTCCTCATCTCCTCAACCCTCCTCGTCTCCTCAACCCTCCTCATCTCCTCAACCCTCCTCGTCTCCTCAACCCTCCTCATCTCCTCAACCCTCCTCCTCTCAATAACCCCTTCTCATCTCCTCAACCCTCCTCTCAATAACCCCTCCTCATCTCCTCAACCCTCCTTCTCTCAATAACCCCTCCTCATCTCCTCAACCCTCCTTCTCTCAAAACCCCTCCTCGTCTCCTCAACCCTCCTTCTCTCAATAACCCCTCATCTCTTCAACTGTCCTCCTCTCAAAATAACTCCTCCTCATCTCCTCAACCCTCCTCCTCTCAATAACCCCTCCTCATCTCCTCAACCCTCCTCCTCTCAATAACCCCTACTCCTCTCAATAACCCCTCCTCATCTCCTCAACCCTCCTCCTCTCAATAACCCGTCATCATCTCCTCAACCCTCCTCCTCTCAATAACCCGTCATCATCTCCTCAACCTTCCTCCTCTCAATAACCTCTCCTAATCTCCTCCACGCTACTCCTCTCAATTACCACATCTCATCTCCTCCCTTCTCCTCAACTCCATAGTTGTCAGCTCACAAGATTTCTGGCAGGATTATTGGGTATTTTTTGCACTTATAAAACATATATTACATAACATTTTCAATTGTATATTTAGCAGCCCAAAGGGGATCAAATAAGAGAAGTTCATTGTTAGGGTGTATATGTGCTTTAAATACTTTCGGTATTGGGACTTTAGATGAGACCGAGGCTCCCTTAATGGATGCTCACTGCCTTCTTTCACAAACAACCAGCAGAGGGCGCACCCATGAAAGAAATATGATCATAAAAATATGGCATGTAAATATCACATGAAATGATTGCCAGGTATTCTCTACTTTAAATGTGTGATCATTTCCCTTTAAACCAGAGCATATTCCTGTCCGATAGTGAGCTTCTTGCGTTAGAAAAATCTTAACAGCTGTCCTAGTTTACCCTTGTGGCATCCTTCTCCAAATATTTATTATGTCTACTCCACAGAAAAGCTTTCCTTATAATTTAGATGTTTGCTCTTTTCATCTATCATTGTCGGCTGCAGTTGTAAATAGCACTCCAAAGATTTTACTATTTGTGTATTATAAAAGTCAAACAAGGCATGCAAGCGACTGGGTCGCACTCAATTTTCGTTTTTGTTCTTGTACTCCCAGGTGACACAGCGAGTCTTGGCACGCATTACATCATGATCATCTAGGAAATGAGCAGGTAACCTAAAGGCATGTGTGCATTGTTGGGTGCATGATAGGCGTGCTGTTGAGTTCTACTGAGGCAAAAGGTGACCTCATTCCATGACATCTACTCAGAACTTTCCATTTTACAACCATGGGAGCTTCCTTGATGCCTTGATATTGAAATGGAAAGCACTGGGCCCTGGAAGATGCAACACCAAAAAACAGCAGTGGCAGTTCCATCACAGTGGCTTCTATCCTTACCTATTTATTTTAATGTTAAACTCCAGTGAGATATCATATAAGACTCCATTGAATGCAGTTCCCTATTCTTTTACACATAATGACTGGAGTCACCACCAACTGAACAGATACGTTTTCTTCTTTCACAGGCAGGCTCTAGTTAATTTTATCATTTGGCAACAGAGTCGCTTTAAAGTGTACTTAAAGGCAAAATTTTGGATAGAGCGGGGGAAGTGTTGAAACCCCTGTCAGGTTTTTGGATGTTGTCTGCGTTCCCCCACTGGGAACATTTGCCCTCCCTGTTTGTCACTAGAACAAAACATAGCGGAAGGCCCAAAACTTTACAGCTGTTACCAGAATGGGAGGTGAGGGGGAAATCCTCCAATAAAGACACCTGTTCCAATTACAGTTTTCTGAGGTTCCCCCTGTTTTCTAAAGGTTTGCAGAGATTTCCCCTTACTTCCTGTTGTGTCTTCAAGACAGGAGCTGAAAAAACCAGGGATGCTAAACATTCTATATTCTATCCAAAAGAAAAAATAACTAGATATATACGTAAAG